CGCCGCTGGCGTCCAGCGCCGCGCACGCGAACTGCGCCAGGCTCGGCGACGTCAGCGTGCGGAAGTTGCGGTACCTGTTTCACATATTACTAGCAGTTCCCGTCAAATTATAAAAACTTTTTTATTGTTTACATTTGTCAAATTCTTATTTTTCATCGCAATGAACGCTAATGGCCTTAGACGTACAATCTAAGACAGGCCGTCGCAACTTACTGTACTAATTAAGTGTGAACCAGACAAACGCTGGCATTTTTGAATTTATGGTAAGGGTATGTACGGAAAAACGTTATCTTTTAGCGGACATATGCTCACTTACACCATTAGTTCTAGTTAAGAATGGAAAAAAATGTTGAAAAAGTTAATCTTAAATCAAAAGCTAATGGCAAAAAAGCAAGGTTGCCATGATTACTTAATTTCTGGCTTCTTGTGATTTCTGCATTTGAATTACTTCGGACGGTAAAAATAGAATTAAGTTTTTATTAAATGATTTTGTAAACTAACCTTGTCAGATCATAACACCTAACAGTGCCATCGAGCGACGAGGATACGAAGAACTTCTTGTTGGCGCTGAAGACGATGCTGGTGACGGTGGAGGAGTGGTCGGTGAAGGTGACGAAGCAAAAGCCGGTGGAGGTGTTCCAGAGCTTCACCTTGCCGTCGTAGCCGCCCGTCACCAGGTACTGTCCGTCGGGCGAGTACGCCACGCACGTCATGTCCTGCGAGTGGCCCTGCTGCTTCAGCACGTACTGCTCGCCTGAACTCACACTCCTTTACTCAACACTGGCTACCGCCTGCGCCTCCACACGTCGAATTAAAAAGTGAGTACCCTATGTGCTTTCGGACTATCCTCTACATCTGTACCAAATTCGAAATCCGTTCAACCGTTTACGCTATAAATTCTAACAAACAATCAATTATCTAAACTTTCGCATTTATAATATTAGGCATGAAGTATGATTTAGCAAGCAACATTTTCTCTTGTATCTTCATTTATAACAAAAAAATAGATGTTCCTTTTTCCTTTCTACTAAAATAAATCAAAATAACTGCATTTCCGCCTTCCTACTTCTATTTGACCCCACTTTAAGAAACTTTGACCTTCAATAAATTTGGTTAAAAAAAAA